TACAATTGGATAAACGACTTTTCTTCATTTCCTCGACGAGTCGGCTTAGATCCCAATTAGCCAGAGATGTCTAGGCATTTATCGTAGCCCTAAGAGCTACCGGGGGGGGCGCTCACCAGGGGTCGAACCTTGACCAACCTCTTCTTCTTCGTCGCGCTCGTCGGCTTGACGTATATCAACCCCGCGAGGGTTGCTGACATTTCCTTCATGCAGCGATTGTTCTTCCACTTCATTGCTAAACAAAACGGTATAGTTGTCATCAGCGTGTCCATTTTCTACACTATCTTGGTCACTCGCTTTGAAGTCGTCAAAATGAATGGCTCGAACCACCCTCGCGGACGCGTGGGTGATGATCGATTTTGCCAATTTTGACTCAGCACGCAAAGTCCTTTTGGATGTCTCCGGGGTCGTGTCGCTTGCGTCCTTCGTTTCGATGACCATAATGCTATTAAGCTAATTGGTACATGCCATACCAATCGCACACCCTAAATTCCCGGGCCGTGAAATCACTTGTGGTATAGTAGTTAGTCAGATCTGTGGCAATACAGTATCAACGTTACAACACAACAATCGCCGGGCTAGTCAACGCAGTTGATCTAGAACGTCGGGTGAAAATCCTCACATTTTGCCCCTTCGGGTTCAGTTGTGGCTCTCGCCTAGCGGAATACCTTCAACCACTCACGCTCCTTTCCATCAACTGAGCTCAGCAGCTTTCGTCCCTCTATTCCCATGACCTAGTACCAATGTGTAAACGTCGGTGTTTTCACGTTTTTACAGGTAAACGAGCGCCAAATACGCCCGACTGAAATAATTGCGGTGTCCTTGGTTATAGACACACCGATTAGTCTTAAGACATGTATTTGGACAGTGCCGTCTATTGAGTCACTAATTCAATATTCGACGAGACTAAGCGCGGTGTCGTAAACTAGGTCACCGGCTCGCCGGGTGACGAGACTTATATCGGTGTCGTCAACTAGGTCACCGGCTCGCCGTGCGACGAGACTGATCTTTCGCTGATAGCAAGAATTGCCGACCCCGAGCCGATTTAACTCTTTGTGCTTCGAATTAAGACCTTTAAAAGCTACGCTCCTCGAGGCTCGACAGCAGATATAATTCGACGTACGCAAGGACATACCTCAAACGTATACACGTGTCTTAAACTTGGAAAATTATTCTCTGTATTCATTATCACCTATACCCTACTGGATTGCAAAAGAACGCCTATGTGTTTCTCCTAAATCCCTCTAGTTGTCCGATACGACTACCTAGTGGGATGGATCAGTATCATCTTGTTCTCTTGTCGAGTCTTCCCTCGTCGACTTCGATGTGCTCCAGCTTCTCTCGTCGGGTCAATACTCCTATAATCAAAACAAATTATGTAAATACCACGTTCGGAATTACCTACCTCACCTTCAAGTCTACGAAAAAATTGAGAGAAATTAAGGGTCATTGAGATGGTCCCTTGCGAAATCAACGCAACCTGTAAGCTCAAGTGGTCTCACTCTGCTGACCCCGGCAAAATTCGCTGGTATCTTGGTGTTCTGGTGGAACAACAGGTTGCGGTAGCCGATAACTGGAATACGTGCATTCGTCTCTCCGGAGCCGACTTGTCTTCGCACGCGAGAAGACGCATACGGTGGAACAACGGGCTCAGCTTGCCAGTGCGATTGCTGTCCCCAAAATCACGCTCTTAGCGCGGCACTGTTGGCCTCCTCTCGCCGTGCGTACCAGGCTTCACAGCTTGGTTATTGGCTATATATGGGGATTCCGTGATGGCAAGCGGTCCCGGTCGTAGTTCCATTACGAGATTACTGCTTTACCAATTTAGCAGGGTGGACTAGCGGTGGATTGTATTCCACAGAAATTGATGAATATGGCGGCAACTGCTGTTAAACAATGGGCAGATACTATTACTTCGAGGAACAAACTACATGGTGATTACTTGTGGGGATCAAGCGGGTCATGTACGGTTTACATTACGCCTTATTGGACGGAAGACAAGCGCCCTCGATATCGAGCGACTCTACGGCAAACCGGGTTCGATATTGTTAGAATTTCTGCGGCTCAGCACTCTCGCAAAGGAGCGATCAGGGAAGTCTGCAGACGTGCCTTCTCTTATATCGAGAGATACAGTCGCCTATAATAATGACGGTAGTGTTACTGTTGATATTCGGCAGGTGCTTGATGACAGACTGCGCGCCCAAATGCGAGCTGAAGTAGCGGCGTCGGTGTGATTTGATCACCTATGGCTTGTCTAAGCCACGCTCAATGATACGTTGTGGCTGCGAGATCGATAGGTACGGCATATACCTAAAACGGAGGCGTTTTTGACACCGGCCTGAAGTACAATGGCGAGACAATTTTTCGGACGACCCTACAGAGTGGCATTGTCTTGTTCTCCCCCACGCGCGACATGACCCCCCATCTATGGCGGAGCGACAGCATTTTGGATCCTTCTACCTCGCCCTTCTTCACAAGTTCCCGACTCTGGTCAATCGGGCGCTGAAACCTAAGTCTCTAATTTTGTACTCAACGAAGGTCCACTAATTTCATGACCGGCTTCTCACTAGTGAAGGTACATCTCTCCGGCATTTTGATACGGGCATGGACTATGATTTGCAACCCGTCTCGTCGATGACGGCGTGCGATATCGCTGCGTCATCATCCAGTGGGACTCCTGTCCATTTTGGCGCGCATCCGTTTTTACGCGGGTTGTCCTCCGGTGGGCCGGTCGTCGACGGTGGCGGCCACATCAATAATAAAATTAAACAGCTTGTCTCCCGGCGGCGCTATCTTGAAGTTACTAGACTTCTCGAGGAACGGGTTGAAAAGGCGGACTTTCACGTGTCATCGGAATGTTCCCCATTGATTACGTGGAGAGATATAATACAATTTAGTGCGTCCTTTCCGACCAACGCTCACACGATATATCGGCGAAAGAGTAACAATTTCCCGCTCTGGAATTGGTCGAAGCAAGATCCATCGTGCCCCGTTCCTGAGTGTGTGCATGCTGGTTCAGCTCTGGCAAGACATATCTTCTGGACATGCCCTAGCACGCGTCGACACTGGAAATACCTCCTCGTTCGGTGGCGATGGCTTCATAATTTCCAGGAGGAAGACTTGCATGTCTGGGTGTTTGTACTGGGCCTTCCGGGGATCCCGCCCAGCGCATGGGTTGTTGTCAAGCAATCTATAAACACACAGAAAGATTTATTGAAAGCTGAGGCTGTGGTCTTTTTGGCAGCTCGAGAGCTGTGGCGTATTGTCGTATCAACGACACTTCATGCCATCTGGTTCTAGCGCCTCCGCCGCATGGAAGGCACGTCTTTATCACAGGATGTTCACACAGTTAGGGCCTAGACTATCTTTCGGCGGTCTGGTCGAAGGTATCGTGGATCAACCTACCAGCCCGGCATGTGGGAGGACGGGCAACTGTTTGCGAATGTACGGTCATTTTGGCTGATAACCTCCTCTGCTACGATGAACATCTTTTGCTGCACGTGCTCCCTATCGAACGGTGCCCAGGAGTGCTCTACCTCTTCTTTTTCGATGGAGGATCCCGTAGAAACCCAGGTCCAGGCGGAGCTGGATCTGTTATTGTCCGACTCCACGTTCCGACGCACGCCGAATTCGTTTTGTGGGTAGCGAGCGTGGCCTATTCCGCTGCCGATACTACCAACAATATCGCAGAATACTGGGGGCTCGTCCACGGTCGTCGGCGAGCAAAGACCAGCGACTACTTACCCCTGCATGTGATTGGGGACAGTTCCCTTGTGCTTGCGCAACTCCGAACACGACATCTTCCACGCAAGCAACACTTAATGCAGTTAATCACCGAAGCAAGCGCCATCGCTAACGATATCCATATCTCCAGCTGGGGACATCATTACCGCACCTACAACAAAATGGCGGATCGACTGGCGAATATTGCTATGGGCATAGAAGCTTCGTTCCAAGGGCATGCTACTTGTAACCCCGTTCTAGTCCAGGAGACCACGACCTTCCTTGATTCTGATGTCAATCATTGGTTGAAGACCTCTTAAGCCGAGCATCACTTAATACAGGGCTTCGTACTGACAACGAGGAACCCCATTATCTCGAGACAGGAGCCTGCGTGCAGGCCATCTGCTGTCCGAGACCTAGTGCTACCTAGTATATAAAGTAGCGGTCGCCACGGTAACTTTGTTGCCGGGTGACAGGATATAGCAAATCGTACGCGTACCTAAATATACATTACTTTCTCACTCATTTACATCTCGTGGTGCCCAATCGTAGAATGAGACGCTGTTACGTTCGAAGCCGATGGACCGAGCGGGCATTATGGCCGGCAAGGTTGAGTCAATAAAAATATACAGGCGACTGCTCTTACTGGGGGACGGACAAAACATGGAGATCGTATCGATAGCAGCGATGAATGTGGTCGTGATTAACGCGAGGCGGAAGCGCAAGATATGGAGCAGTCGTTGCTATAGAAAATTATGCGCTTGGAGTCTTTGTCGCTGCCACTAGGAAATATTTTGCTCACTTATAGTACGAGTCAGCAAGAGAGGATGATTGGAGCAGCAGTGATGTACTGAATGGTAAATGATGGCTAGAAGGAAAACGAATAGGTGCGTGCAGGGACTCATTTAGCTTGAAGTTCGTTATCTGAACGGTGGTCAGCATGACGCAGGTTCTGCTACTTCACGGACAATGGCTTAGTGAAAGGTTCGTGTAGATCAAAAATCGAACGACTTGTACCGACGTTGTCTGAATCGTGAGTGTGGCACACTAGCGCCGTGGAAACGATTTTTGCACTGCTTCAGTCGTCTTCTTATCGTCTTGCTCTACCACTTACGGACCAGAACCCCTTTTCGACCTTACGATATAAGCCTCTTAAACTTCGCGCGAACATCATCTAGACATGATGAAAACGCGGTCAAGCTGTGTCAAATACTGCCTGAGCGTTGGGGAAATTCGGTGATAGTGTGCGCAGTACCTGCACCTCAACTAGAATACACTCATTTCGCCAAAGGTGCAGTCGATGGCTTCTCGTGTCGCTCTTGCGAGTTGCAACGCTTTCGCCACCATTGCGCAAGAGACACATTTTGCCAGAGAAACAGTGACGGATCGTTGGAAGTGCCTTTGCCACCCCCGTTCGAGTTCTTCCGCTTTCTTCCCCGCAGCTCGCTGTCTTTTCCACTTTCAGAGTCACGCTCCTCTTCTTCATCACTTAGCTGTGCCTCGTTATCCGTTGTCTCATCAAACCCGTCGAGAGGATCTGACAGCACCATGCCGAGGTTTTCGGCCTGCTTCTCCATCGCCAACAGCGCCGAGTACGATGTGAAGACATCGTCATCTAAGTACTTTCGCGGATTACTCTCAATCAGCTTTAGCAATCGAACGTAATGGGGATGAACTTCAGCAATGGGAACGTGCAGGTCAAACGAAAGCTGAGCGTACACCGTGAACTCGGCGGTGAGAACGTCTCGTGATGGCAATGCATGCACTCGGTCAATATCCTTCAGAAGTAAACGGATGACTCGTTTGCGCTCGTCGGACGCACAAGGCTCGTTGAACTTGACAGCCAGCAGGAAACACACTGCCATGTAGAGCTTGCGGTTCACCTTGGCGACATAGTGTTGCAGCACTAGTTTTTCGAATAGCACACAGGCTAGAGCGACTGTGGCGACTTCAAGATTTAGTCGTTGACTGCACATGATCGCCTCCCGCTTGAGATGCCTCAGTTTGCTCAACGAGAGCGACGGATCTTGCAGCCAGTAGGCGTGTTTTTCTTGGAACTTTTGATTCAGCTCGTCCTTGAGCTCGTGTGGCTTGACAAACAGCAGAATGCTGGACACAATGGGTCCGAGGCTCTTGTCCCCCCGCACGACATGCCGATGCCGCCCCTGTCGGAACTCTGGATCATCGAGAAAGTTGGCCGAGTACGGCACCCGCTCTGGATGCGCGTCTTCTTGGTCTCGATCGGGGTCACAGGCGGAATAAGTGGCGTGCAGCAGACGGAAGTACGACGTGCCGCGCCAGTCGTAATGGGTTGGAGCAGGTCGCTCCAGCGCCAAGCCGCTCATCGACGCTAGGCGGTTCCTCCTCGCCGTCGTGTCGTTCTTGCCATTGTACTGCAAGTAAGAAGCAAGCACCACCACCACCACCAACAACAACAACCACAGCAATTAGTCTTCACCCCCTCTCTCTCTCCTTTTCCTCTTCTGTCCCTTATTTCTTGCGCTCTCACGTTAATGATCGTCGACGTGGCCAGCGGATACCCGCAGCCTCTCGAGAAAAAGAGCCTCGCGTCCAACAGTCCCTGCTGCGTGGTCACGCCCTCCCACCGCCGCACGACGGCCGAAGCTGCAGGAAATTTGGTTGTGAAGCGGTAGCGGAACAGAGGCGGCACGTGCACGACCGTGGCGGCCATCCCCGGGAGTCTCCGGCCGGCCAGCGGCTCCACTTTGGCGTCTCCACTGCCCGTTCCTGGCGTCAGAGGCCCTTTGGCTGTGGTCACTGCGTCGTGCGACGTTACGTCATTGAGGCGAAGTTCCGACGTCGACAGCGGCGGTGCGACGGCGCTCTCGGACCGCATAGGAATCGTCTGCAAAAAGTCGAGCGCCGCTATGTCCCGCGTGACTTTGCGCGAGTGGCGACTGCGCTCATTGGCGCCTGCGGTAGCGACCGGGGACGACGGCAGAAGGAGCGACGGACGGCGGTCCTCTGTGGGCATCGCGAGGCCTCTGCGTCGATGGGTTCTCGACCAGCGGCTGCGACTTGTAAAACACTAAGCACTCAGCCAAGCGACGTGCTAATTGGACACGAGCGGTAGCACTGCGAGTCGCGAGGCGGACGCGTTGCATGTATTGTATCAGCAGATATCGTCTCTACGGACTTTAATAGCGCGCCTTACTAACATACAGACGACTCAGGTCGACGAGGACGCTGTCGCTGTCGCTCTCGCACTGCACGTCTGCCGTTGACTCAGCTGCGCTACTTTTCGTCACCACTCGAGTCGCCAAAGTCTTCTGCGCTTGGGCCAAACCGATCCGATGTGTAGTTTGTATACGTCAGAAACTGGTTCGACAGCTTGGACGCGAACGTCGGCGTGAACCCCGACGGCTTAAAGCCCAAATTTGCGTCGATGTCTTGGCGAAGCATGCGCGCTGCATGAGCGCACGGCACAAGAGCATGCACGTCATGTGAGTTGATGTGCTCCCTGCAACAGAAACACACAGGAGCAAACAGCATAGACGGGGAAGTGCGTCGTACCAGTGATGAAGGTGCACGGGTTGAGGATCCTGTCCCTCTTGCCCGGCACGACCTCGACGTCCTTCGCCAGCCAGCGCATCGTCTCGGCGAATTTGCTCATGCAGTCCGCGTTCTACTTAGGACGCCACATGGTCAGCTTAGCTCAGCGCAGCGCAAGCAGTCGAGTGTCGGTCGTGTTTTGTTGCCTGCAACGTACCAGATACGGCGGATCAACGAGCACATAATCAAAGAAGCGGTGAAACTTTGCTGGCAGCTTCGTGGGCTCGTTGTAGTCGTAGAAGACAAAGTGGGGGCCGTACTTGTCGTCGAATCGACGGTCGTACTCGAACAGGAAGACGCGGTCGCCGTCAACACGAGAGTCGCTCTCGTCTTGGATCTGGACGAAGGCCCGATAAGCTGCTGGCGTGCTCACGAACGCAATGCGCATCTCTTTGCTCTGCTCGATGGCTTCCTGCGCCAAGGCCCGTCCCGTTCGATCGTCGTACCAGCTACAGACACGAGACCGTCAGCACACTTCTGCATATACTCCAGAGGGGAGGACTCTTGTGGCCCAAAGACGCACGCACAACTGCGAGAGACGGAAGTCCTCGGCGACTGTCGCATCTTTCTGCCCCTCTTGCGTCTTGAGGTGCGCTTGCAACGCCGCCAAAGTATCCGCTGAGAGTTCGGTAGCCAGTAACGAGTCCATCTGATGGAGCGTCACGCGCAGTACAGCGGATGTCAGTGACAACGACACGGGAGTTTTCAGCCAATCGTTCCAGTGAGTGACTGCTTTTCAACGACCAATTTTTTCAGCTTTCGATCGAACATGCACAAGACCTCTATCGCTACGTCATCCACTACTTGTTATTGTCTGCCTTTATCTCCTTCTCCTTGTCGTCGTTGTCGTCGGGCTCGTTGCACAAACCAAAGCGCTTTGACTCGTAGTTGGTGTACGTGAGGAGGTGATTGCTTAGTTTCGACTCGAACGTCGGGCAAAAGCCCGTGGGGTAGAAGCCCAGGTCTGCCTTCATCTGCTTCCGCAGCAACTGGGCTAAACAAACAAACAAACAAACAAACAAACACAAGATCGCAGATGAAGAATGTTGTCCAGTAGTGAGCTCATCGCACAGTCCAGACGCACTGCGTCACCACAGGTATCAAATAGACATCTTCGTACAGTTGATAAACGTGGCTGGATTGATGACGCGGTCTTTTTTGCCCGGCACCGACTCAACATCCTTCGCCAGCCATCGCATCGTGTCCGAGAACTTGGTCAAGCAGATCATGGCTCTAGCGACACATTTGCCAGGTACAATGCTGTCAAACGACAGCAAAACGATAGCCCACTCCAGTCAATGCAGTAAAACAAGAACGCACCAGGTGCGGCGGTTCCATGAGCACGTAGTCAAAGAAGTGATGGAACTTCTCGGGCAGATCAGTTGGCGTGTTGTAGTCGTAAAAGCAGAAGTGGCTGCCGTACTTCTCGCCAAATCGACGGTCAAACTCAAAGATGTAGACGTTGTCGCCCATCACTACGCGCTTGGCTTCATCCGTCTCTTCGCTCTGAATCTTAAGGAAGTCACGGTAGGCTGCTGGCGTACTCACGAATGCAATCTTCAGCTCACTAGTACTGTGGTCAATAGCCTCTTGTGCCAGTGCACGACCAGTCTTCTCGTCGTACCAGCTACCAATTTATACGGTCAGTCGGTCAGAAGCTCAATCCAATATACAGGTGAGCGAACGAGTGGTAATTCGCAGCGAGCGAGTGGCAACTCGCTGAGTCGCAATCGTGACGTCACAAGAATTCTACTACGTACAATTGGGAGAGCCGGAAATCCTCCGTTACCATAACGTCGTTCTCTTGAGAGCGTTCCAGTAGATGCGCCTGCAACGCTGCCATCGTATCAGCAGAGAGCTCAGTCGCCAGTAACTCGTCCATTATTGCGTGTCTGTTTCAGCTAGTGAGCGGGTTTGTAACATTCTTTAAACAGGAACTTTCATATTTGGTCACATACACTTTCAAATTTACATGTTATTGCTCATGTTTTACAAACAAAATTAAAAAAGGGGCGCCGCTAATGAGCCTTCAGTTGTATTCAATGAGCCTTCAGCCCATATATTAAACAACGTATTGGATTTGAAGGTCTCTATATTCTAAAATTAGTTTGTTGTACTTTTAATAATTACCGTTTACTCATATCATATCATCTATTCAATCGGAACCGTGATTCCCTTTCCTTAAAAGCCATATGAATGGCCTGAACCAGATCACAGAAGAGCTGTTTGATTCTGTGGACGAAGCCTGCCAAGCGCTTGACGATCTAACACTGCCATAAAGCTATGTTACAACTATTAAAAGGCAAAAAAGGTGGGCAACCGCAAGGACGGTGAGTTAAAGCAGTGGATCCGCAATGCTCATGCAACGGCCGCCGACCTTATTCTAGTATGGAGTCAGGTAAAGGGCCTCTTCGTCAGCGCATGGGGTCCAGCCGCGCCACTGATTGCGCCTTCTCGTCCACGATCACACTTCAGCGACGTCAAGAACAACCAGACCAGTGGTTGATCTACGTCACTCATGAAGAGCATAACCATGATCCCTTTGTAGATATCAAGGTTCATCCACGATTACGTGCTCTGGCGGACGAACAAGAACAATCGGTGATTACGAATCTGCGTGCATGCATCAGCGCTGGTTGCATCGTTGTACCCCCCCCTTCGGCAATCTGATACTGTGGGTATTATTGCGATCGATATTTACAACATTCGCCTAAATGAGCGCCGCAGATTGATAGGAGGAAGAGTTTGCTTGCACACTTGCTCGAAAGTCTAGCAACAAGCGATGAAATTACAGCAATGCGCCATACTACGCGAAAGTCGATGCTAAGTGGCCGCTCACGCACCTATCTATCGTGTCACTCTCTGCCAGCGACATCACGGCCTTTTTCAGCGCAAGTCGGTTTTTTTGGTTGACGCCACTTACAACACTAATCGATTTACACTACCTCTGCTGCATATTGTGGGTAGCTGCAACCAACAACAGCTACACAATCGCCAATTGCTTTATGAAAAACGAGTAAGAAGTCAACTACATCTGGGCGATGCAGAACCTGAAGCGGGTAGTAAGGATATTTGACATTGCAACACCAAACACATTCGATGTTGATCGCGAGCTGGCATTAATTAAAGCTCTCGGGGACTGTTTTCCCTTTGCAAAGGCACTGCTTTGTAGATGGAACATAAACAAAATCATCACTGCCAAGATATGAAGACATTTTGACTCCGCAAAGGAGTTAAATCAATTACAGCTCACGTGGAACTGCTTGATACGAGATTAATCAACAACAGAGTACGACCGCCAGCTTGTTGCGATGATATTATTTCTTCCAGTTCATGTGATGAAATATCTGGATGATACTTGGCTGGTTTGCAAAAAGTTATTTGTGTCTTGTGTGGTGAAGTCGATCTCACAAAATCGATTGTGTGAGGGCTGATCTTCCACTTGCTCAGACTTGCCGACTCACGGAGGGGGTACTCCGATCCGTGTATTGTTGTCTGGTCTTGTGCTCACCTTGTGTACCCGTCAGTTGGGCTAGATTGACCCCTTTGTAATGTCCTTGGGAGATGTCGGTATCGCTGAGAGTTTAAGGATGAGAGTTCGATTTCGTTGCAAAAAATCTTTACACCACGAGGTTCTGCGATCTAGATCTTGAGTAGCGAAGATCACTATGTGGAGAGGTTGGGACCTTGATCTTGGATCACACCGATCTCGATTCGTCCTCGGGATCGAAATCTTTGCTGTGCGGAAATCTTCACTCAACAAATAGTAGTCTTGCCTCGATCTTGCCTTGGGATCAGTCCGATCTGGTCTTGGGGTCGGACTATCTTGTCAAAGGTGCACAGCTTGGGCCAGATAGATGTTCTATTTGGACAAAATGAAACGTGCCGATCTGGCCTGTAGATCGCTTCGATCTTGCTCGGTCTTGTCTTGAATCCCTTGTCCTGATCTTCTGACCACTTAAGTCGTCTCGCGATATTATGTCCAGTCCTTTTCCGTTGTTGTTGCTACCCTAGCAGTTGAGTTGAGTGTGAGTACTTGATCGATCCGAACCAGAACTTCCGGAATCGTCCATCTCGATCGTAGCCAACAATCCAAGATCGGTCTTCAATGTCCTCGAAATACGCGTGCCTAAAGCCGCCGGAGAAGCCAAAGAAATCTTGTCCGGAAAAGAAGGGGGAACGCGCGTCGTAAGTAGAAGAAGTAGAGTTTAAGTCTGTTTATTTACCGACCAAATTAATAGCCAACCTATCTTTACGCATATTCCCAACCGTTGGTCGTTCTCCCAAACGGAATTAACTTAAGCCGGATCTTCCCTTTGAACACGTGTTGAAATTTCGTGACTTGTACTTCAATGATAGCGCCAGTATTCCAGGTGTCGTACCTAGAACACAAAAATAGCTCAAATATCAAACATAGTACCAAATACATATTCTCAGCGCTAAAACACCCAATGTGTGACCCAAAATGTCAAATGTGTCCAAATTCGTTTTGCGACGTCAATTGAACCAGCTTCCACTGCCCCGTCTGGTCTGAACTTTAAAGACATCACTCAGGGACCTCTATCGAGTGTATTTATCATGATCCAGTAGTCTCATTGGCGATATATCCATAATTAACAGAGAACATGACCGATCTGATGCCCAATTTGAGATCGTTGAGGATCGACACGGTACAATTCAGCAGTATATGTTCTTCTGTTCATTGTACGTGCTCCAATATCAACCTTCAGGGTTTTTCTGGTCCACGAGACCCTCCCTATGTCTTATAATAACTCCCTGGACTCCCATGAGTATTCACACTTCCAGATCAGGCTATAATTAGCCAAAACCAGTACTCCCATTGCGGGACCGGTAAAGAGGTTCACCGATCTGCCGGATGTTACACCTCCGTCACAGAGTCAATTCGCACCACCTGGTCCCATATTTACCTTTGGCAACCATATATATGTATATATATATATGCGACTCGTCCCAGATCGGTCCATTGCAATCACCCCATCCTGCTTCTCGTCCAAAATCGTTCCATGTCCATCATTCTGGCGACAATTGGATCGGATCGTTGATCTCCGTGGGATCACCTTTCGTCTTCTATTGGATCGCTAGATCACTAGGTGTGATTTTCCGCCAGTAAGTGACGTCTAAACTGTGTGGTCACCGATCCACGTCCTAAAATTCGATTCGCGACTTTGTCACATTACCGTAACAACCCGAACGCTATGGTGTACTTTGTTCGGGATAGTTTTCACGTCGGTGATTACGCAGGAATGGTTAGACGAGAAGGGTGATGAGACGCGCCGACTGATTTATATGTGTACACATATAAATCAAGGTGTAGGAAATATGCTTCGATAATCAATCACTTTCCAATCTTCCATCACCTGACTAAGTGGATTCTCCTGTCTTTCGAGTGGAATCCCAGCATCCTCGCTAGTTTCGATTGTCAAGTCTCGCACCTTTTAAAACAGATGGGAACAAGGCTGCGATTAAAGGTGTGGGGACTATCGTCGAAAAATTGGTCCTGCCAAACGGTGAATAGCGCGAGATCGAGACCAAGAACGCGCTTTACGTCCCAACAATGAGCAAAAATCTGCTGTCGAATCCGCAGATCATCAAAAGCGGCAAGTTTCAAGTGATGTTCGACGGTGCCGAAATGAAGATTCTGCTCAAAGGTTCCGAGCAAGTAATGGCAATGGCAGATCTTGCAGACGGACTCTACTGGCTTCGTACACTGCAACGATCCATAAATACTACATCGCAATCAAGAGACGAAGATCTTCATGCGCGTATGGGCGACGCACCAACTAAGGTCCTATGCAAGATGTTCTCCAAGGGCATGATCTAGGATGACAAGATGCCGCCAATATCAACTGGATTAAGCGTGTGTCGCGGTTTTCACTACGGCAAAATGGTGCAACGACCGTTTCCAAGCAACCCGAGCTAGCGTCACTAATTGTGGTATAGTAGTTAGTCAAATATGTCATACAACAGCCTCAACGCACAAACAAAATAATCGCCGAGCTTAGTCGGCGCACGGGCTGGTACGTGAGGGGAAGTCTCCCGCGCGGTTCGCCCCTTCGGGGTTTAGTTGCGGCTCTCGCCTAACTGATTTCTTACAACCAATTCCTCCGGAAGTCTGCCTGAGCTCAGCAGATTCCAACCCTTTGACTCCCTGTGACTTCACACCAAAGGATGAAAGCCGACGCTCACGCGCTTTTACAGGTCACCGGGCGCAGTGTACGCCCGACTAGAAGAATTACGGTGCCCTCGGCTGAGGCCCAACGGATCGTCACTCAGACAAGTCTTTAGAGAACGGTGCCTTTTCTTAGGGATCTCCAGCTCGTCGTTGACGAGACTCACAACGGTCCCTGTTACTGAGGTTTACCGGCTCGTCGACGACGAGACTCCTTCTTTCGCTAGTAGCGAGCGCTGCCCAACCCGGGCCTTCCTTAAATCTTGGCGCTACCAGTCGATACCTCTACAAGCTATGAATCTCGAGGTTCGACGGCAGGCATAATCTAGCCCACGCAGGGACTTACCTCAAGTGTACGCGTGTCTTGGACTTAGAAAATTCTGCACTGTATCGGTTTATCTCTTTTTCTTTCTTGCAGAGCCAGCAGATATGGCTCTCTGTCCTTCCCTAGTTCTTATACAAATAAAGTGACGAATATGTCGTTCGATCTTCTCGCATTCTGCTCTACCCTTGAGTCGCCGACACCCAAGTCGCCGACACTTAAGTCACCGATACTCGATTTGCCGACCTTTGCCTCTGTCGCTCAAGTCTTCGACACTTAAGTCGTCGACCTATAAGTCGCCAAAACTAATATTTCGGGACTGAAATTCTCTACACCACAACTGCCTTAGTAGCGATACGAACCAAACGGT